TTGTTAATATGACTCTCTGGAATGAAAGCCAACTGAAAAAGTTTCAAATCGTTACTCCCTTTCTTCAATCTTTTGCTTTTAGGGCAATATAGACATTCCCATTTATGGCAATGCAGTGCATATAGCCATACAGTATAAATGTTTACCTTTGAGCATATTATAGAATTGCATTGTAAGTTTATCATTTGTAGTAATCTCTTAATTAAATATAATACTGCAATCAGCTTTTACTGTACTTCTATTTTCCTGCTGATACCATAGCATACTTTACATTCATCCCTAGTTATGAAATAGAGGCAGCCAATGAAAAAGTGATACGGATGAAAAAAATAAGAGTAATAAAGCAATGCCTGGGTAATTAGTAACTGAATAATTAAGTAATTGTGTAATTGGTGACATTCTAGAAGCTGTGTCTTTATCTCTGATGGACTCATTACTTTATTGGAATTTACCAAATCACACAGTCTGATTTCATCTGATTTAACAACCAAAACACGTAAAAAATATTGGGTTTTACCCCTTGGTACATTAAAACTTTGACATCATCACAAACAACATTTATTAAGCTTCTTTGAAAAATAATCTTAAAAATATTGCATGAAAGCATTATATCATCTCAGTCCTGCAGAAGTAGGAATCATGTGTGAGTCTCAGTGCTGGAAACTGGGGGCCTATGATATCATGTACATGTGTGAGTACAGCAGTCAAAACATATTGTATCTACATATGTATAAATCAAAGAAAATCACACTCTATTATGTGTTTTTTTTAAGAAAATAACAAAGGACATTAAAGTAAATGGAAAGCCTGATACTTAAGTGTTTGTCTTTTAGTATTAATTTTCTAATCTTAAGTTCTTAAGAGTTCTGAAACTGCATTATTCAAATTTTAATGTTAAAAATCCTTCATGGTATTTTATATTCAGTCTTTCTTTGTTAAAAGAGTACTTTGGGATTTAACAGTCAATTAATGTTTCTTTTCCCTTTTTGTTAAGAGTAGCCTTTGATATTGTGGTGAACCACTTGAATTTTCTTTTGTTCATACAGATATTTTCCTCAAAAGTTTTCCTGTGAGGCCAAATGAAGTGAAGGAAAAGTTGTCCATTCTTAATGAAGAGGATGGAGGCCTCAGTGATGAGCAAATTGCTTCTCTCAGGAGGTTTGCTCTCTCACTACCACTCATGGCTCTTAAATATTCTTTAAAGGGGCAGTTTATCTCATCCTTACTATACCCTTCATTTTACTTTTCTGTTCTCTATTTGTGCTGTATGAAGGGTTCACCTCCTGCTTTTTTGTCATGCTGTTAAATCTGTATTATACAAAAATACTTTCAGAAAGATTTCATAAAGTTGGATGAGAGAGGAGAGTATAGTATATCTGTGCAGGGTGTCCTACTCTTGTCATAGAGTAGACCACGTCATACTGTATCATGAGGGAGACCCCAACTAGGGATTAAGAAGGTCTTCAAATACCCTCTATAACCCACACTAAATACCTTTCTGGGTAGGTTGTAGACAGCGGGCACTTTCCTAGCTGTTGTTTAACTGGCTTGACATAGCTCTGCTTTCCTTTAGAGTGGGGTGAGTTGTGAGGTGTGTTTTCCAAACCTGAAAACTATAATCTATTTTGCATGCATGAATTAGTGTGCAACTTTAATTTATGACAGGCCGCCAGTGCTTCATAAATGATCTAAAGCACATATTTTTTTTCATTTGCACTTCAATTACTTTAACCATATATTGCCATTGTGTGCAGGTGAGGATGGATTAAATTTTAAACTCACTGTGGAACAGAACTATCACATAAGCAAGATGGGCTTAAATGATCTCCTTTCATTTGCAGCATTTCTTACTGCATTGACTGAAAAAAAGACTGCATTGTTGCTGTAGCTTAAGTGGAACACACACTTATATACTTAGTTATTGATATTTATAATCAAATCAATAGTAGTCCCATGAACATATTTTTAAAGTCAAAACTTAAAATTCAGATGAGAGGACTGAAAACAAAACCTCTTCTCTTACTATATGATTAAGGAGAAACTACTCTAGTACATTACTAGGAAAATTTATGATTCCTTTTGTGGTCATTCTGAGTGTAGTTTACACATTGAACTTTCCCGCAAGGAATGCAATAGCCCAGTTCTATTCTTTCTGTGCAAGTCACTGCTAGATGATCTTGGGTGAAAAGGGAGAGTACTGAACTTTATAATGTTGATGGAAACAAATGCCAGAACCTTTTAGCAAAACAGGTGCATAGCTCTACAGCTGAAGGTCTTATGATAAAGTGCTCTAAGAGGCATATAGAATTGAGTGACTCTCTTGGGCACAGGGTCTGAGAAATGATAAAATGATTCTTCAGTTGAATCTTTGTGGAATGCTTGATGTCTTGAAAAGAGACTGTGGTCAAAGACATTCCATAATTCAAAAAGAAAAAACTGTTTTTTATGTCCATTTTTTCCATACAATACAATATGTATCTTATACTAATTTTTCACTCCTAACAAAATGTTAATATGCTGTAGCTGTAGCTACAGAACTGAATAACCCCCCTGGTTATAAATTTATGAAAAGGTTCGGTTCAGACATTTGAGCTTTATATTGAAAACTACTGTACCTAGTATTATTTGGGTCCACTTGTAGACTGGGTCAAATGCAGTGCAATTTAGACACAACTCAGCATCAGCATTTTATGTGGTTTATAAAAACTTTTTGGTTATCTGAACAATATGGCTTTCTCTCTGAGCAGCTAAACACCCGGGTACTGTGCCATGAGAGAAAGAGAAAAATGTGTGATTCTTTTGATGTGTGTATTTTTATAGAAGTAGCACAGGGTTATAACACCAAATTTCCAATAATTAAGCAGATGCTAAGATTAAATTTTGGATAAAATTAGTCAGACTAATGGGCAAAGGCTGTGATGTTTTGTAAACTAAAACATTCATAATTAATTTACCACCACATCCTTCATTTTATGTGAAAAATAAGACTGGAGCAGCTATTTATATACTATACTGTATGTATCTTAGGTTCAGGCTTCCCTTGTTCTGTTTTGTGATTAAATCTCTGTTAATCAAAATGTCTCTGTATGTAATTAGAGGAGCAAAACGCTCCTATGAATTGACTGACTACACAGCAGCCTCTTCAAACTAATTTTAGTTGTTCTGATTTACATTATTCATTTTTATCTTACACCACTTAGAATACCTTAGCAATCCACAGTACTGTCATTTCTGTTTGAGGACTGGAAAAAGGAGAAAATGACAGCTGTTAACAGTCATTAAGCATGTGGTAAAATCAAATCCTGGATTTATTTCATTTCACTGTTACTGTACTGTATATTTCCTAACAGATATGTACCCACTCCAGATGATGTGGAAATGTATAAGTCTTACAAGGGGTTACCCTCAGAGTTGCACCTAGTCGATCAGTACATGTTGGAGGTAAGGAGAGGCATCTGATGTTTTCTACTTATGTCAAAATTAAGTTATTGTTTGCAATGTGGAATCTTTTTGCTCTGACTTATTAAATTAATTTTAATCTAACACTGAATACCTCTCAGATTCTCTTCCAGCAACTCTTTTAAAGTAACTGAGAGAACACACAGCAAAAACTTAAAATATGGAAATTTCTGTTTTTAAATAATAACCATTTCAGGGATTTACAATTTTACAGTGGTGCTGACGCCATTTGTGAAGCCACTGAATTTCTATATAGTATTACTTTTACTTGTGAATTCCTCATATTTCTGACAAAAGTGCTCAGAAATATGAATGTAGTGCCCAATCCCTGTAGTACTGTGGATTGTCTTTTATGCTGATTTACTATTTCATAATTTTCATTTGCTGGACTTTCACTTAAGTGAACAGACTTCTTTATTAATTGAGAACCAGTGTGGGCAATGAGTGGACTCTTGTGAGGCAAACAGATTTCAACTTGTCCTCCCAGGGAAAAAATGAGGTGCACTACCTGAAGAGGAAGACCAGTATATGATGCCAGTAATGATGCTGAGTGCATTCACTGCTCATAGGGAAATCAGGAGCTGTTCAGCCATCAAATGAGGGGTCTGAGACCTCAAATCCAGGCAGTTGATGCCACTCTCATGGTGTCCATGTGCATGAACACATGTCTGTTTTGGAGGAGCAGAAGAAAATGCCAAACTGCCAATAAGACCATAAGATCGGTTACAGTACATGCCCAGAATCACACTTTAACAAATTTCATACACCCAACCCTATAAGAGTGAGGCATACATTGCATCAAAGCCTAGCTGAAAACCCTGGAATATGAACCTAAGATGGTTCTTCTTCCTGTTAGATAACCTGGAGATGGTGGTCTGTGACAGGGGCTTTATGGGATACAGCTACTGTAACCCTTGGATAGAACACAAATTACAGTAGTTTAAGTGGAGAGGGAGCTATGTTCATTCCAGCATCTAGGAGTTCTGTAGAAGACTGCACACCAGGAAAAGGTGATTTTTCAGGAAGGTCCTGGTATGATGATGCTTCTTTTTGGAAAAGCCAACGCTTTTAGACAGAACAGCACCCACAGTGCCCAAGGGAAATGCCAGTGGGTCCCACTGCTTCTGTCCTCCACATGGAAGTGAGGTCTTCCAAGGTATTACCTGCAGTATTAGAGGTTTATGCCCACAAAGAGCACAAAGAGTTTATTTCATTTTTAACCAGAACACCTATGTTTTTTCTTTAAATCTATCTGCATTTTCTTGTTCTTAAAGACAATAATTTCAAGACCTCTGCATATAAAATAAGCAACTTACCTCATAGTTTTTTTCATTGATGTAATTTAATCTCAGGTCAGTCAACGAAACATCATTGGCTCAAATGCAATTCACCAGTCATAGGTACCAACCAAACTGAGTTAGATACCATCACTGCCAAGTATTTGCTAGAAATAATTGACTTAAACAGTGATCAAATAACAAACATTTGCTTCTATTTCCTGAAGGGTACAGAGGTGAGGAACTGAACCCTTAGCTTCTTCCTATTTACCATGTTGAATTTAACCGAAACCAAAAGACTTAAGGAGCCATTAGATCTGCAGAAAGGCTTGTGCTGAATGACACCACGCTTTGATGTATTGCTAGTTAGTAATGACTATGTGCTCCATTGAATAGCACAATCTCCCCTTTAAGAGCTCCTTTGCTTTTTAATCATTCTTGTCAAGCTTCAGTTCAGAAGGAACCATCCGTTTCTTGCACCACAAACCTCTTAAGCGCTCCCTCAGATTTAAATCTGGAAAATACTCTGCAGTAAATGACAAATGGACAAGCCAAAACTTTCTGTGCGCTAGGAGATTTCACAGTTTGCTTTGAGGAGTGCTTTCTCCTGTTTGTGTTCATTCAGCTGAAGCCTTTATGCAAGGTGACTTATGGAACTCCACTCTACATAATGGAGCATTGTAAACAGAAAGGTAACTGAAAGAAATGCATGGTGCCATACTAGAAATAGTGACCTGATGGATTGCAGGATGAAGCCATAATGGTCATATCTTATCCAGTGAGGCAATATCTTATCACATCTTGGCAATGTCATATCTGATCCATTTAGTTGACATACGGTTATGAACAAAAACAACAAATAAGGTCTAGGATGCAATGCACTTAGAGCAAAACAAAGACAAAGTTCAACACAGATGCTTCTGTAGAAGTGCCTTGCTGTTTTGATGTGCAGAACATTTATTAAAGTATTAATAAATTATTACTTTATTGTTAAACTATTAATAAAGACTCCATGAAGATGTGTCATAGACAGTAAAGCAGTAGAATCCAGTTGTGGTCTAGATGAAAGTGTGATGTTTTTTATAACAGTATTTATCCTTGTACCAGATTATTTGTTGTGTTTGTTAATGGTATTTTCAAAAACTTTAAATACTTTGTTTTCTTCCCCCTCAGATGTGCAAAATACCATTCTTGAATAATCGATTAGACGTACTACTCACCATCAGAGAACTTCCCATAAGCATGGAGGACCTGCAGCCAGTGAGTGTAAAACTTGAATATTTATCCTTGAGTGTATCTGTCATATACACCGCCCAAGTCATATGTTGGGACACTATCAATGTCAATTGTCAATGAAAATGTTTAGAAAACTGCAAGCCACATCTGTACTCATTAGGCTGGAAGATGCATTTAATAAACCACAGTAACACACAGAGGAGTGAAGAGAGTGAAGTAACAGCACTCAGTTCATTCTCTCTAATGACATAGATAGGGAATGCTTGAGACAGGTAGAAAAATATTCCCAACCATTCCTTTTTTGAAGATTACAATTAAGTTGTCTCAGCAGAGCAATCTGCATTTGTTGTATTAATTACAAGCTCCAATTCAAGCAGTGGTATGTTGCAATTCTAATTTCATTGTAACTTACAGTGAAAATGTCTGTCTGTCTCCCCTTGCCAGAATTTGTTGTCCTTGGTTATTAATAAAATTACATAGACTGTTTATGTAGACAAACTTCTAACTCACTTTCAAGCCAAAACAGAAAAGAATGGTGTCTTGTTTTTATATTATTACTATTTAGCGACTAAGCTTTGAGTATCTGGTTTTCTTTTTAAATGTTTGGGATTGCAAAGCAAAATGACCTTCTAGTCTTATATGTGTGTCTACATTTATTAAGCTGGTGAAAAGTGAAGTGTACTACAGTGTGTCGTATTACACTGAAATGGGTTTTTTCGATTTGTTGAAATATTGCATCAATCCGCAGTCTCCAATATCCCCTGGATTTTCACTGCTGTCAGGTTTGCTTATTGATGTCAAGCAAAACGAGTTAGGAATTACTCTATTGTCCACACATTCAGAGCTCTCTACTGTGCTGCGCAGAGACAGGTTACGTTACAGGTCAATTGTATAGACAGTCTAATGATAGACTGAGCTTCCGGGAAAAAATAAATGGCTGTCATGTACATTTTTATCTTGTTTTATTGTTGCTGTAAAGTGCTTTAGTCATTTTGGACTCACATGTTCCTTCTGATTTTCCATAAACAACGAGGACATTTAAAAAAGCAAGCATTATTGCACGTGTTCCAAACCTGCCCAGACACCTGCAAGCTTGTGGTGTTGCTGTGTTGTCTTCTGCAAGGCTCTGTGGCGTTTCTGGAGTGTGAAATGACAAATGGCAGCTAGGGGGCGCCCTTGCTCAGGTGATTGTTCCCACCAGTGAGCTGCAGGAGTGGTAACAAGTAGAAATGACTGACAATAGGCAATACCAATTTATAATGTTTTTAATGTAGAAAAAAATAAATTTGATTGGAAATGGAGCAAATTATCATGAAATAATGTTATTACCACAGAGGGATTATGGAGTTTTTGGGGACAATGCAGGACTTTTCCTAATGAGTTCCCTACTTGAATATTTAAGGTTATGAGAACATATTATTATTGCTGAGCATTATATACCCAATAGGATTACCATGGAATGATTGTTATAGCTTTTAAGGCTGAAAAAAGATTTAGGTATTTTAATGTACCTTAATCTGACTAGTTTAATTTTAGATATACAGTATGGCAATATTATTGGTATTTAAGATATTTCCAAAATAAATACTGTAAGTATTGTTGCATTAGGGGCTCCTAGTAGTAACAAAGGTTTAATGTTTGGTTCAGATTACTTAGATCTGTCCTGCCACCAGCCTGAGTACATGATAATTAAAAAAATGAAATAATCACACGCCTCCAATGATCAGAGAATACTGAGTGAGGTCCTGTGGCCTCTTTAATGTTCTGTAAATAATTTGGAGGTTGGGAAATAAATAGGAACTTACTTACAAGATCAATATTTATTTAGCTAACACTTGAGACACAAAACCCTTAGCTAATATTTGCAGACTATTATTCAGAATAAAACAGCCTAATCCCTTTAAATCATATACTTTGATACTGAGAATCCTTGAAACTGGTTTCTTTAAATATTTTTCATGGGTGAGTCTGCAATCTAGACTGATGCCAAAAATGCCAAAGAAACAAGAGTGACGAACACTGCCTGGTAGATTTAAATAGAAAACACATCCCCAAATCCAAAAAAATAGCTCCTTCCCCTAAATGTAATCTGAGTCTCTTCAGTGCCCTTTCTTGTTTGTTTCTAGAACAATATGTGCAGTACAGTACCAAACTGATGTGTGGTGAGTGTTCTGGCGCACTATGGCTGCCGTCACATCATCCAGGTGGGGCTGCACATTGGTGGTGGTGGAGGGGAGACCCCATTACCTGTAAAGTGCTTTGAGTGGAGTGTCCAGAAAAGCGCTATATAAGTGTCAGCAATTATTATTATTATTAATTATTATAGTACAGTACTGGGACACATTTGCCGTGGTGGGCTGAATAGTTTCTTCTTATCTGTGGCTACTTCCGATGTCTTATGTGTTGTCCTTTTCACTCCATAGATTGAATTTATAATCCATAATTTTCTCTTTTAGTATCTTTTCATTGTTTGTGCTTCTGGGGGTGGTGGAAATTAGCTAACAGATGGCTTTGATTGCCAAGCAATGATACGTTTTCTGTTCTTCATTGTTTTTGCTATGTATAGCTTAGGGAGGGATTTGCATTAATTAAACTGCGAGGTGTTAAAATATCACTCACATAGTGTCAATGTGGCGCTTGTGAGAAATATTTTCAATTGGGAGAAAATGTTAATGTGTTGCAGGTTGGTGTGGACTTTGTAACTTCTTTCTATATATAGTACAGTATATACCGTAGGTTTTCCAGACAGTATTCCTGTTCCCTTACTCCTCCCAAAGAAATGCAGAATATGACTGGCTACTTGAAATTGTCGCTTTCCAGGATGGGTTTCAAGAATTTTATGCGGGAGGGCTCTCTCCCAGTTGCACCAGTACTGGCTGTCAACCTAAAGAATAACATAACCAAATGGGGACAGTGGATTGAATGACCTTCTCCTAAGCTTTGTATCCTTGTTGTCATGCATATGGGCCTGGATCTGCTGAATCAGTTTTCTTTCTGTACAGAAAGTTAAAGCAACAACAAAAACATAAAGCTTTGACTAAAACATGTTCTAGAAAGCAGAATATTTAACAGAAAGCAGAATAACTTATCCTTTACTGAGAACTTTAAACCTTTGAATTTAGGCTTAGCATTGTTTAAGCTGGGGGCATCAAGAAGGATTCATCTGTCATTTCATAAGCTTGATGATGGAAATAATATTGAGAAGCAATGGGCATGCTTCACTGTGAAATTATGGCTAGATTTTTTCAGCTGGCTGTATGACAGAGGTTGGCTAAACATTAAAAGCCCAATAAATACGGTACTTTGCTTTGTCTGGCTCAAGGTCAGGAATAAAATCATGGAACCCTGATGGTTTTGTGTCTTAGATCTGTATTTTAAGTGCATGATTTGTGTTCTCCCTGACCTATCATTGCTTGCAATTCTGTGAACAAAATGTTCAGAGAACTCCATGTGTGGATTTTCTTTTTGTATTCAAGACACATGGAAACTGCTTATGTGCAGGTGCACAAGGTTACAGCTTGAATCCTTATTTACATATCCACATCACAGCACCGGTACAAGCAAAGCAGGGGACGAGCTGTGAGGAGGCAGCAGTTAAGTCCAAATATATGTAAAAAACACAAGGGGCTGGAATTCCCCAGCAAGCATGAACATATGGATAGGTGTTACTGAACAACTCTTAACCACAACACAATATGGTTATTCAACAAATTCTCCCCCCCCCCATCCAGCCCCAGTGGCAGCAGTGCTTATACTGTACAGTAGCTGCCTTTTTTAAACAAAATCATGCGTCAATGTCAATAGATGGAAAATGGAATATTCATTTATGTTCTTAGAACATTTTTAGTATCTTTTTTACCAATCTTCCCTGAAGAGGAAACATCTCTCTATTATTATGATTTTTATTATTGTTATTCATTTCAAGCCATATGGAGATATTAGGTGTTGGTTTGAATATAGGAAACAGTGTTTAAGCTAAAACATTATGATTTAATTTTAGATAATTGATGCTACACTAAAATGTGTTACACAGGTGTTGCGAACTTAACAAAGGTGGCATTGGGGAAGTACTGTATAAGTCGTCCTCTCAGAATCAATATGGAATACAACATATGGCAAGATGTGACTTTTAATTGAATTCTTTAGAGCAAGCATTATAGCACAGAGGAAAGTAGAATCTAAAGATTGTCATACTTGAAATATGGAATATGTGAAAGTGCATTCTCCTTTCAGATTTACATTCTTCTTTGAAATTTACAGTCAGTGAAGTTCTTTTTCAATAACTTTTTCAAAATATGCATTTGTCTTCTTTTTCATAGCCAACACTATTGACATGTGACCTTCTACTTAGCATGTGTATCACTAAAGAAATGTCAAGATGAGTGTACTGTTTGTAACAAATAATCCCAGTGTACTTCACATACTGTGACTACCCTGCCACCACTGAAGTGAAATATACACTTGGTGCTGTTGTAGATCACAGCACACAGTATGTATATTACAGTAGATAGGTAAATTTAGCTACCGTAGGACACTGCACGAAACCACTAGTCTTACAAAACAGTGCCATTGGAAATTCCATGACCAAGTAGTCACAACCTCTATCTACACTCTTATGCAAGAGAAAACCCCTCCTACAGTCCAGTGGTCCTGGGGCTTTAATTGGTTTGGAAATTTTAATCCAGAAGGAAGAGTGACGCCAACTGATCTACCAACATCAGTCACTGCAGTAACCTTCTAGTTTTCCTTAGATTTCTTCTGTCGTAAGACAGGTCAAGCTTAATGTTGCTAAACTTCCAAGATCTGATGAGATCCATCTACAAGGTCATAGCAGTGTTGCCTAACGTCATGATTTGGGTGATGGTGCAAAACTGCAATAATCCCAAAGTAAAAAAAAGTGTGGTTTCATGGCTAAAACATAAGTGTTATAGCATTGTCACAGTAACTCAGGTACAGTATTTATTATAGGTCAAATGTTTTTGTTTTTTAAGTGCTGATTTTTTTGTCATTATATGCATACAATTTAGAGCAGCCAGTTGTGTGTACTTTATGTCTCTGCTCATTGCAAACCCTGTGACTGCACACAGGGGCGAATGGGGAAATGAACACTCTTCTGACCTACCTGCCTTCTAGGCACTCATCTTTAACACTTCACAGGCCAAACAGCCCCGTAACTGAGGTTTGGCTTGAGGTGAAACAGAAGCACATACCGTATGTCACCAACAGCACTACAGGCCACCACGTGCCCAGGAGGCCAGATGGGGCGCTGTGCTGCCAGCAGCTGAGAGAGCTCTCTCCTACGAATCCCACCCTGCGCTTGGTGCCTAGCCTTCCAAAATCTATTTGTAGTATAGTGTCTATATTTCTGCTACATAAACCTGTTTCAATATTTCTTCTATTTTTGATCATTTTGAATCTGTGTAAGACAAAGCTGTCTCAGAAAAGGAACAAGATGACATTTAAATTTTATGTTGCATTGTTTGTATACTGTACTGTATGTTGTGGTTAGCATGGTGGTTAGCATGGCGTCCTCACAGTGCTGGGGCACTGGGTATAATTCCAGGGTTTGTATGTTGTCCCTTTGTTCACCTGGGACTCATCCGGGCTCTCCTGTTTCCTCCCACAGTCCATAGGAGGCCATGATTGGTAAAGGCCAATGGGAAATTTGGCCAGGACACCGGGGTTACACTCCTACGCTTTTCGAGAAGCACCCTGAGATTTTGAATGACCACAGAGAGTCAGGACCTCAGTTTTATGTCTCACCCGGAGGATGACGCCTTTTTTCCAGTATAGTGTCCCCATCACTATGTTGTGTTAAAAGGAAAACACAAGGCAGACTTTGCTAGTATTTTTCTGAGGTGTTTGTCTTAGAGGAGAACTTAAATTAGAAACTAGGCCATTCTGTAAAGCAGAAGTATTTTGGAATTTAAAACCAAACAAGGCTGTCGCAAGCTAAATATGTGCAGGTATTACAGAACAGCTTTAATTTGGTGAAAGAAAAAACTGTCATTACATATTATGATGTAGGCTTCCATTAACAGTAGAAGTCAAGTAATGTGGTAAATCAATGTCTTGAGTAATTGTGAACAACATAAAGGAAGTTGACAAAATGGTGATCTTGGGGGCTACTGTTTTTATTTTAAATTTTAGATCAATCTCAAAGTACTTGGGCAAGAACCAGCAACAGTCATGGCACTGTAACTGAAAAAAACATCAGAATCAAGAAGAAAATGACCAAAATGACATTCAACCACACTGAGAGTTTTTGCTACTTATGATTCAAGTTACATAAGCACAAAAGTAAATGTAATACCTGTATGGTGTAAACCATGACAGTCCCAGAATACCACTGCTCATGTTACACTTAAGGCAAGAAGCATTTCTTTTTTAAGCATGTTGCATTTTTATATTCACAGCTGATTATGTTGGAGCCTTTACACACCTGACTTATTTAATCAAAGTTGATGCAGTTGTGAATGACTAATACATTTCTTATTCATATTTCATATTTCAGCTGATTGACCAGAAGATCAAAATGTGCTCTCAGCTGTTGAATTGCAAGTCGTTTGTCTCTGTGCTGGAGTACCTTCTTGCTGTGGGCAATTACCTCAATGAGAATGCTGGGAAGGAAAAGGCCAAGGGATACCGGCTTTCCTCTCTGACAAAAGTAAGCCGCTGTCTTCTGTGTCTGACCTTTTTGACAAACACTGCAGTTCAGTGCTAATGAGATTGCTTAACAGTTTACACCATGGGTCCTCCTTACACCTTGTGTAGATCACGTTAGCAGAGTTTTGCAGAGTTCTAAATCAGATGAAGCCATTTTTGTCCAGCAATACTAAGTCTGTAGATTGAGTTTGAAGTGAGTAATTTGATAGTTTATCCTTTAAGCATATGCAAGCTTTTCACTCACAATATTGACCTCTTCCCTACACATGCATACTGTACTAACCAGTACCGTTTCAATATACATTATCACCACCTTCCCAGCCCCTGAAGGAAACAATAGTAAGGTACTGTATTGTACTGGAAATAATTTTCTAGTTTTTATTGTTTTTGGCCTATTCAGTGTCTTGTAACACTTGAACATGTGAAACTTGTAAAAAAAAACGAATTAATAAACTAAATATGCTTATGTTCACAGAAACAACTGTAAACATAAAAACAGTGGAAGGAACCACTGTGTGCACTTCAGTATACTGAATTATCTTCTATTATAGACAGAAATATTTTTAATCTGACCACTGTGTTGAAAACTACAACTTCCGCTGACAATGGTATACTGTGTGTACTTTAACGATTAATACTGTAGTTATAAGCAGTAATTTGTAGCTAATCTGTGGTAGTGAGTAGTAAGCTACTACATATTTTTCCTTTTCTCTAGTAAGTTTATTTTCATGGATCTTGATGTTTGTCTTCTTATGTTTAGATTTGCTCCTTAATTGTTACAGTTACAAATTATTTGCATGCTGATGAATTTCACAAAGTCAGTTTTAAAGCATATATTGTATTTAAATTCACTTGGTTTGATTCCAATAGTTCAAGTACTTCACATTGATGTGCTTTCTCACCTCTTTATACCCAACATTCCACCCCCTCCCAAAATAAAGATTAGAAGCTTGCTTTTTTAGGACTCTGTCAGATGTTTGAGGCAGCCAGCCAAATTGTTTGACCTGTGGAATCGGCTCCCTATTTCTTTTTCTGTTTGCTTCATAGAAGCACTGAACTACAGAAAGATTGGTGATGTCATGCTGTCAGTTCTGTTTTTAGTTCAAAGGAAATACAGGATCAACCTTTCTGTGATGCTTTACACATTTCTTTTGGCTTAGTCCTTGGAGATGGTGCAGACACGAAATCGGTAAACAATGTTAGGCAGAAAAGACAGCAAATCTCATTACAGAATTAAAGGGTTCTCTTGCATTTAAATTAAGAAGCACACACAACTATGCAGCAGTCAGTTGAATTTGGAGACATCTTAGCTTGTGAAACCATTAACATTTTAAAACAATCTCTGTAGGCCTCTTCTTTTGAAGAAATGTTTGGTCCCACTGTCAATTTATAACATCCTTTACTTGATATACCTAAAGGAAGGAGTGAAGAGATTTTAAGATAGTCAGTAAAACCTATTTATTTTTTTTGGTCTTCACAAAAGACGCTCCTTTG